TGATAGACAGACTAGCCTAAACACTAGCTGGCGTTATAATTTTGCACTTCCACTTCCTTTTCTTTTCTTCCTCATGGATACACCACTTCCCCAAATTTTATCTTCTCAAGAATGTTTGTCTCATTTTGTCTTGAATAAATTTATGCACCCATGTCTGTCCCAAAGAATTGGCTCTAGTTCTATTTAGGGATAAGCCAGTTTTTGCGAATTATTACGAAGCTTTTAATGAAAAAATGACTTGAAAATAGTTTCTGCACCAGAGCCAAAGCTTCGCTCCCATTGGGGCCCATTTGGAGGGGCTGATTTTTGAGTGATGTTCCATCCTACAAATACTTTACACTTCTCTCACTGTAAATTGTGCAGGCTCTAGCTCTGCAGTGCTCCACCAGCAAAGTAGCCTCATGCCAGAATGGTTGCTGGGCCGTCCCGGGAAGGAATCCAGACTCACCACAACATCAGTGTCTAACTTTGAGCTTAAATCCATCCACTTTGCACCGGTGATTACTGCATTTGAGCTTAAGTTGACACCACTTTCATTTTGACACAAATTTGCCATAACCTTTCTTTTACCATATGCCAGTCCAATGACAAGGATTTTCTCCCCCCACTGCTACCTTCCAGAGGCACTAAAACTCCCTCCTGCAGTCTACAAGAAAATGACTTGGCTCTTTTCCCATGGCATCCCTCTTACCCTGTTACTGCAGGCATATGCAGTAGCTTCCCACAAATTAGTTGTGTTTAAAACTTACACTTCTCCCTCCCTCCTGCCCCTTCACAACGCACTTCGTAGCTCGAATGTTAAAGCAAATCAATCCAGGTCCATAGATTTACCCTATGCCCTTCCTCATTTCCTCAGAAATGGTAACTTAAATGCATAAATCTGACTTCTGCCTTATTCCATGGGGAGAGAGACAGACAAGTCACTGTAACATCTGTTGCATGCATTAGGTGTTGAATGCCTGATATACTTGAACTATTTGAACTCAATTACTGAGGACAATGGGCCAAATTCTACTCTTGTTTTTTTTTGTAGTCAATGGGCATAATTTGTATTAATGGGCATATAAATGAGAACAGAACTTGGCTCAATGCCCAAGAGAAACTTTTGGAGATTTACCATCCAGTAGCTATGGGCTAAATCTTCATCTGGTACAAATCAACATGGCTCACTGATTTTAGTGTAGCTACGCCAATCAGTTGATATTGTCATGTTTTAAGCTCTCTTGTGAGCGCTGGAGTGCAATAAAAGCAAGTAACACATACATCCAGAGTTGTTTTTTGAGAAGCACACATCAGGATAGCCAACCAAGTGTCCTGTCTCATCACACTTTCTCCACTAAAAAGGCTAGATATTATGATAGACAGATGATCATCCCTCCTTTCAGCTGTATGCATTGGCATTATGCATCCCACAGCCTTGGTGGCAGCTGGTCAGAAGCCCAAGGTTCCCCGAGTTAGGTCTCTAACAAGTAGCACAGAAATTTTCATTAAAGCTCTGATTTGCCGCAGTGGCCTCTGGGAGTCCGCATACCTGCCACAGACTATCCCCCTAGGGCTTGACTGTCCACTGGTTTCTGCTTTGCTTATTTTTTCACACCAGTGTAACATGAATGCAAATCATTCCTTTTCTGACTTAGGAATTTTCTATCCTCTTTTTGCACTGGTGAAGAGCAATAGAGAATCAGGCTCATGGTGCTCATTGGAGGACTTAAAAGGGCCCCATTAATATGCACGAAACTTCAACTAAACTTCATAGCTTGCAAAGGCATGGTTAGGCGGGCTTCCATGTCATAGCTGACAGGTAGTTTTGGGAAGAACATGTTACTTGTCTAGGAAAGATGGATCACTGAAGAGCACCTACAGTCAGGAATAGACAACATGGCATCTGCACCCTCCGCTTCACAGCTACTCTGCTCCCCCACCATCCCTTTCACTATGAGTCAGGATACTACTCCATGCCCTGCTGAACAGCTTCAATAGGCTACCATGTGCTACCATGCTGGAGATGTACATGCTGCAACAGTCTCCGAATAGCAGACAAACTGAGCTTATCATCTGCTTTGAAGGTAAAACAGTAGGATATGGTCTCTGACAGACACTTCACCTGCAGACTTACATAGAGCTTTCCTGGCTCTGAGAATGGCTGGGACCTTTGCACAGTCTCTCAGTTCAAGATAACTCACTATGTCTGTGCCTGAGACTGCAAGAAGGAGATAGATGTATAGTAAAGTTATGTAAGCTGAGATAAGGGTAATCAAATCTCGCACTGCAGGGCATTAGATAAACAAGGTAGAGATCAGAAAGGAATTTTATCCTCTTGGCAGCATTATAAACTAGGATATAATCTATCATATGGGAATGATTTCCTTTTTGTTAGAATATCAGGGACTGCTGTTGTCTTTTATGATACTCAACTTGACTGGCCAGTGGCCAGCACCATCCAAGGTGGAATTTCAATCCACAAACAACCCTGACACATTAGATCCTTTGGGATGAGGCAGGTCACAAAGGCCAGGACTAACCATGAGAACTGGCAACAAAGCACTCTCTTAAAAAGAGATTTGGCCACAGAACAGTCTTCCAGAGGTGATCAAAAGAAGCCAGATTCTGTGCACCTTTCAAAATCTTCCTCTTTGAAAATGCCTTTCCAAAGTAAGAATACCATTCACAACACTGACCCCCCATTCAGCTCCTTCACTCCTCACCAATTCCATCATTTCCCCACCCATAAATGAGGTATTAATAATATATTTTTAAAAAAATCCTACCCCAAGCAAAGCTGTAACTTCTAAAACAGAGAAATGCCTGGGAGTCCTAGTGACTATATTATTGCCAGTGATTTTATGTGGAAGGTGCTTGATGGATGGCAGTAACATCCAAAAGACATACAGTGGTAGGATTAGTCTGGCAATTCTTACATTCTGGAGAAAGGGGAGGGAATCTTGCATTAAAATGAGAAGAGCCTAAATTTTCTGTGCTTAGAACTAGATCAGAGCTGAATGCAATTCATTGCAGAAATAAACACCTCATTTATATTGGAAGCCAACCCTCCAGAGTCAGAGTATGTTTGGATCTGGCAATCTGGATTAACACCACTTCTAATCAAGATGTAACTGGAAAGTATTATTGAAGCTTCCCACCCTGCCTTAGTTGATTGTTCTCAGGCAGAACTTTTTTGATAACACAGTGTGTGAAGAGCAAACCCACAACCTCCTGCTCAGCACTTTTACGGCTGCACGCATGTTAAATAGATGGACTAATAAAACCACTTCCTGAACCAGATTATTTGAGAGGTTTGGATACTTCCCACTGGCCACTGAGGCAAGAGGGCATTAAGACCAAACTTAACTGTGAGAGATCACCCTAGAGTAAGAACATCATCTTATTTAAATCCTCTGGCATTTTAGAGCCCCAAACGGTTTTTTAAGATATTTCTTCTTCCTTCTCCTGAGGGAAGAGGGAAAAAGGGGATGTCTCTTTAGTTGTCCTTAGTTGTGGCTTTGGCCATTGGTGGCAATTTGCAACTGGTATAATCTGGCACAGCTCTCATGTTACTCTAATTTACCACAAGGAAACAGGCCGTGCAGAGAGGTTTCACCAGGATCAAGGCAGTGCAAAACCATCATTCTGCCCTCTGCACCTGCCTACTCTCTAGTTCGTACATCTAGTTCACCCCATGATACAGAGCCATGTGAACAGCTGTAGCTAGGGCGGCTCATGCTCCACCTCAGATACATGTGAATGACACAAATAGCAATTGAAAACAAGGTCATTAGGGAATCAGCCTTGAGTGAAAAGTCCTTTGTGAAGCAAATAGAGGACAAAGGTATTTTTTGAAGCTTTTTTCTTTTTGGTTAAAAATTCAGCTCATTTCCACAGCCAAAGGAGCTCAGCTTTTCCACTGTGCTGAAGCAGTTGTTAAACAAAGGCTTTGCCGGTAGCTTGGTTACATCACCAATGTTGTTTCTTGGCAGACTTTTGAAGGCAGCATGTGATTAACATATCAACAGAGATGCTGAATGATCAATTCTAGACAAGCTGACTAAATCAAGCTAACATTCTGTTTAGGAAAGTGCTATACAAGGATACGGTTACTTAGAAATTATTCTTTCCAGATGTTTGGGGACATCAGGATAAGTTTATTTCCCTCTTCATGTGCCTTTTGCTTTGCAACTTTGAGATGGACAAGAACACAGCCTCTGGCTCTGAACCCCCTCAGATGCTGGGTGTTATTTGGCAATAAAAGAATAGTGGCACTGTTTCACAAGTCAGTAATCCAATGCCCAAGTACATAAAATACCAGATTTATCCTAATGAGGCAAATGGATAATTGCTGACACAAAGAGAACAGTGCTGCTATTATCAGTATCATGCTAAAGCCCCTCCAAACACTCTTTCCAAATACATTTCTAAGGGTAGGTACTTAGGGAGTGTAGACAAGTGGCAATGAGAGAAGTGGGGGTGGGGGATGGAAGAGGAAGGATAAGAACTGCGTGCTGTAGTTAGAGCCAAGTCTGAGAGCCATGTGCAGAACCGGTGCAGACCAGTGAAGGTGCACTGTTGTTGACAGAGCTGCTGAGAGCTACAGTGGGATTGGAGCTGGCTCTCTATCTGAATATTGCCTATTAGACTCTCTCATGTATTATGTCTCCGACAGTCCACATCAGACACATTCCACTGAAAGAACATGTAATATTTCTAATGTCAAACTCAGGCTGACAACCAAATGGCCTCTTTCTGGCATCGCTGTCAGTGAAATTTCAGCAGGCTAAGTTATACCTGCAGTTTTAAATCTGATATTTGTTCCCTTCTAAATCTGCCCTCAGTGATACCTGGACAACCAGGTACTCAGCCTCACCTCAGTCCCTGGAAAAATCATGGAGCAGGTCCTCAAGGAATCAATTTTTAAATGCTTGGAGAACAAGGTCATTAGAAACTATGGCAAGTCATGCTTGACTAACCTTATTGTTTTTTATGATGAGATGACTATTTTTGTGGATGCAGGGACAGCAGCAGATATAATGTACCTTGACTTTGGCAAGGCTTTTGATACAGTCTCCCACAACAGTTTTGTAAGCAAGCTGTGGAAGTAAGGGTTGGATGAATGGACTGCAAGGTGGATAGAAAAGTGGCTGGATCATCAGGGTCATAGGGTGGTAACCAATGGCTTGATGTCTAGCTGGCAGTTGGTATCAAGTGGAGTGCCCCAGGGGTCAGTCCTGGGGCTGGTTTTGTTCAATGTCTTCATCAACAACCTGGAAGTTTGGATGGAGCGCACCCTCAGCAAGTTTGCAGATGACATCAAGCTGGGGGGAGCCGTAGATATGCTGGAGGATAGGGCTACAAATCTGAGGACTGGACTAAAAGACTCCTTACTGAACTTCATGAGGTTAAGTACAAAGTCATGAACTTAGGATGGAACAATCCCATGCATGAGTACAGGCTGGGGACCAGCCGGCTAAGTAGCAGCTCTGCATAAAAGGACCTGGGGGTTACAGTGGACAATAAGCTGAATGTGAGCCCAGCATGCTCTTGCTGAGTAGAAAGATAACAGCATACTGGGCTGCATTAGTAGCATTGCCAGGAGGTCATGGGAAGTGATTATTGCCTTCTATTCACCACTGGTGAGGCCATACCTGGAGTACTGTGTCCAGTTTTGGGGGCCCCACTACAAACAGGATGTGGACAAATTGGAGAGAGGCCAAAGGAAGGCAACAAAATGGTTAGGGGGCAGGGACACATGATGTATGAGGAGAGGCTGAGGGAATTGGGCTTATTTAGTTTGGAGAAGAGAAGACTGACACGGGATGTAACAGCAGTACTCAACTACCTGAAGGGGGGTTCCAAAGAGGATGGAGCTGGACTGTTCTCAGTGGTGGGAGATGACACAACAAAGAGAAATGGTGTCAAGTTGTAGTAAGGGAAGTTTAGGTTAGATATGAGGAAAAACTCACTAGAAGTGTAGTAAAGCACTGGAATAGGCTATATGTCAAGGTTATGCAATCTCCATCCTTGGACATTTTAAAGACCCATCTAGAAAAAGTCTTGTCCCCAACTCTAATACGGTTGGGGATGGTCTTGCTTTGAGCAGGGGGTTGGACTGAGGTCCCTTCCAACCCTAATTTTCTATGATTTTAACCCTAGCTTCAGGGCACCTGCAGATATGACACTTATTGACCCTTGACCTGGTACTTAGCAGTTCTCTTATTCAGACAGAATCCAGCATCCTCTCCTAACTGCAGAACAAACAGTTAGGACAAGAAGGGAGAAGCAAAGAACCATATGTGACAGATACTTGTCATTTAATGCATGCTGGGAATGTGTTCAGATACCACAATGAAAAGCTAGTAAAAAGGACCAGAATAACCTGGGAAGGCCCAGTGAGGGCCAGGGCTGATTCTGGCTTCAGTAGTTTTGGTGTGCAATCAGCCAAGGAATCTAGCATGCTACCGAGTATGAGAAACACTGGAAGTGGAAGAGGCAGGCTGAGGTGAATACAGGGCCAAGGCCTCTCATGCCCCTTCACACCAGCTGTCAGGCGCACACAGAAACACATGCTGTGCCCTGCTAAATGGTGTAGAAGTAACTGCCACAATATGTGCATCCCCAGTGATCCTGGAGGCATTGCACCTGCCTCAGACTCCATACCTCTGGGACCTGCTGTCATTTCACACAGCTCCTCAAACCCACCCAACAAGTGGATTTGGGCCCGTGTAAACCAACTAAGGTTCTGGCTCACAGTTCTTCACCTTTTTTTTACAGCTAATACCTCAGGCTATTCACTCAGAAAGAATCTAAAACTCCTATCTACTTCTAATTACTTTTGCTTGTTTACCTTCTGCATTTATTTTAGCAGTGACAGTGAGAGGAGACTAATCAGTAGAGGTAGGCAGCTGCTACAAAAGAGTCTCTAGTGACATTCACACATGTAACACTGGGGCCTTTAGTTTAGCTGCAAGGGTCTTCATTTTCACCACTCACAGATATTAGGGGGTTGGTGTAAACTAATGAATCTCTGTTGTATCTGGCCCTTGGATAGGCAAAATGTTATCAAAGTAGGGTCCTATCAGCACAGTTGTGTGGCAATGGGGGACTGCTTCTGTATTTTCCCCCTAGCTGCTCCTCAGCCTTTTGGCTAGAAACAATCAAGACTAGAAGACAGCTGAACTCCAAGACTTCCAGGCCTGGGGCTTGCATGTAGGATGCCTGCCTAAAATAAAAGTCCCCATCCCCATATTTGCCCAATATGGGCCATGTATTTTATAGCCATGCTCAGTGTTGGATGCATTTAATCAACGTCATAGTTAGTTTCCATTGCTTAGCACATGCTGCTTTTGGCAGCAGTTTAATGATAGGAAAATGTATTTAGTGAGATTTCCTTGTATGCGATTATAAGACAAGGGGCTTTTTTCCCTCTGCCAGTTAGGGGGAAAACACCTCCTCTTGGAATTGAGAAAATACAGTATCACAATTACATTAGTCACTCTGGATAAATGACACAATGTGATTATCAAAGTCAGAGTCATTAAAGTGGCATACAATGGAATGCATAAATAAGGGATAAGCTCATCGGGTTGGCCATTCTTTTCACGCCCTTCTCTGCACATTTTCCAGAAGTTCCTTCGCGTCATAAACAAACCACATTCAGGACCACGAACAGCTCCTTTGGGAGACAGCCATTTTCTGATCAAATGCCCATAGCACAGTTGCTTCCCCCCACTGTTTGAGATTAGTCAAAATAAAGCAGCTCATGGGGATAGTATGTGTTGCGGTCACAGGCAGGTTTGTTAAAAATGAGAGAAGCATTTACAAACGAAGTAATAACCCTCGTCTCAAAGCTGTGTTTCTCGCTAACGTGGTCGCCACTAAATCCTAAATTACAGTTTGCCAGCAAGGGGATTTTCCAGTTCTTGCTCCACAGGACGCAGCAGTGATGGTGAGATCATTCCAAAGGGACAGCCACAAATGCTTAAGTGAGCTATAGCTGATTTCTGTTTAAAACAACACAAGTGTAACTCTTTGCAAGTCTAAACACTTCCCCCAGCCAGCTGGCTCCAGAGAACCAAGGCTTTTATATAACAGCAGATTTGACTCAGTGCCCTGGTTTTGGATCCAAATGTTCAAGTGGTGGCACTGGGAGAATGAACTCTGAAGAAAAAAACAACTATAAAGGTTCAACTACTTTAAAGGGCCTCTTTCGCAGACTTAACGCCCAGGGGAGGTATCTTATGAGGACAGGGCAAACAACGAGCAGCCAAGAGAGACTGGAACTACAAGAAACAGGGACATGGGATAAAGAGCTTCTGTGGTGAGAAATACGTTGAAACAAAAGGCTGATTCGGAAAAGTTCTAGCAGTGGAAATAATGAGGCACATGGGTACAACATTCCTTCCAAATGACCAGTGAACCACAGTTGCTAGCAAAGCTTTATACATGCTGTGTTCAGAGTTGGGGGTAAATCCTCAGTTGAGCTGAAGGTCAGCATCTTTGCTTGGGCATGCAATTTTCTGCTGCTAGCAGGGAAAACAAGCTTGCAAATGAACTGCGAGTGCAATTCCTAGTAAGTGCACATTTAACTGCTTGATTGGCACCCACAATTGTGCCTATGACATGCAGTCTCTGCTAGGCAAGAGTGGCATTCACATCTGAAGCACATCCATTGTGCCTGGTGATATAGCATGGCTATTGGCTCAGCTATAACGTGAAGCATAAAGATGCATTCTTTCTGTATGTAGAATCAGGTTACCAGGATTTGTCCCAAAAAGTATGGTAATGTTTCCAGAAGGACTGGAGAGCTATCTGAATGCTCCAGCTCATTCCTGTGTCCTCCTTTGAATAGGAAAAGACTATTTTCTAATAAAAATAACCTTTTTTCCCCTTTTTGGTTAGGTTTTGGATTGTATTGCAAAACAAAATATAAGACTCGAGAAGGGGAAGTTTTGCTGGCAATTGTGCAGATAACACTAAGTTAGAATTATAACGGTTTAATTACATGTGGCCTAACATAAGCAGGATATGTTCATATATCTCAGCACTAGCCATTCAAGTTTGAATAAGTTACAGCCATATGCTGTGGCCTTGCCCCTTTTATAGGTTCAGTCTTTGGCCCAGATGCCATGGATTATAATGGGACATCAGAGTGAGATGCTATGTATTTTATTTTTAATTGAAATCTCAGATGTTGTTGAATATGTGATGTGATAGGTATGTGATGGTCTGGTTCCAAAGCCCATTGAAACTAATAGGAAGTTTTCCTTTGGTTTAAATTGGCTGTGGATCAAGCCTTGCTGCTGATTTTTAAACAGGAATCATCTCTGAAACACTGATAAATAAATGCATGGAAGAAGGCTGTCTAACTGCAGCATACATATGGCATTTCAAGTAAGTAGGTCTCTATGTTTGAGTTTCTATAAGAATGTAAATGTCCTGGTTTTCTCCAGAACAAGACTGCAGTACTATTTGATTGACATTTTCTGCAGGTATAAAAATGGCAAGCCTACCTAACAAATGAGAATTATCACATTTCTAGCTTCAAGGCATAACTTGGCTGCTGCAAGGGTCAGAAGGGAATATCTTCTTCCTCTCATATAACACAGTTGAATTGCACAGTGCTATATTTGGGGATGCCTACTACTATGGTAACAGGGAATGGCCAGTGCTGGAGGCAAAATAAAGGGCTTGATGGACTAATAGCCATATGTGGTATAGCAAATCCTATGACAATTTAGAAGTGTAATCTCCTCCATTCTAACAGAAATGGCATGGTTCCATCCTCCAAACAGTCCGAAGGCTAGAGTCACAGTGTTACTGTAAATTTATATATAGCAGGATTATTTTCAGTATAGGATGCATTTGTCAAACTGCCAACAACGGTTTACTAGGAGTTTCTTCCCCACTGGTGCTGCAGAGGATTTAAGTGTGACATTCCTTTCAGGGTAAGGAGATTAGGTTGCTACATTTACATAAGATTTGCCATGGAGGATCAATTCATTGCTCTATGAAGGCCAATACCTTTCCTCTGCAAATGGCTGATACCTACCCTTTCAGAGAAAGAAGAAAGCAACTCTCTTGTAAATAGAGCACTTGGGTCTCTATATCATAATGTTCAGAGAGGTAAATTCCTTCTAGAGCCTTTAAGTGATCAGTATACATCCTAAAGGATGAACTATTGGGTAGCCTTTATTATGATCCTCTCTGTGTATCTGTATGTATGGTTATAAATCAGAAGATAATTGCAGAAAGTAAAAAAGAACATCAGATTGGGGAGTAACAGAAAAAACACATGTAGGCACGGAGAGCAGGAAATAGCCTGAAAGAGGCAGCTCAGACACCCTGGTGAGCAATGTGGGATGAATTCTGTTTGTCTTAACTGCCTAGATAATGAACTGCAGATGAGAAAGAAGAGTAACTCAAATATGTGCCTTAACAAAGAAATACAGCACTAGGCTGTGGCTTTCTTCTTACTGAAAAGGTTTTTACATGGAAAAAAATCCATTCTTTGCAAAGGTTTGAGTGGCAGGGTTCCTAGGTGTGAATTAGTCACCTCCATTGTAAATGT